TGCTTGTGAATCTTGAAGGGAACCTACAAGAATCTAGGGTTTCTTGAGTTTCTTGAAATCAATCTTGAAGCTCTTGAAGTTCTTGATAATTTCTTGGTAAGTTTTTGCAAGATCTTGGAGTTTTGACCGTTGATTGTGGGAAAATTAAGGGCTGACCAGATTCTGGAATTTGTTTCTTACGGCCAAGTGTTTGTGTCATTTGTTAAGTCAAAAAAAAAAGAAACGAAAAGAAAAGAAAGAAAGAGGAGTCAGGTGGCAAGAGATCAAAACAAGAAAGAAAAGTCGAATTCTTATTGCCAAAATCAGTTTGCTTACATCTTGTTTCCAATCCAAAACAGAAAATTAAACAAAGAAAAGGGTCAAAAGTTTTGATCCACCACTTCTTCAAGTTCTTGAATATCTTGTTTCTTGGGAGCTTGTTTCATCCTTCGAGTGTACATCTTCTTGTACTCTCTAGCGGTGGTGAAGGGTTTCCTTGGCCTTGGTGTGAACTTCTTGGGAACATCTTGGGGAGACCGAGGAGGGTTGTGTGCATCACCTTGTTGATCCTCCATTGTGGTGAGAGAGGTCCGAAACTGTCTTGAGTGTTTGCACAAGGGAAATCAAGTCTGAATCTGATTTTGAGTGTGTGTGAGTGTCGGATTTCCTTAGGGTTTAATAGAGTCCCAACCAACTTGAGTGAAGGGGTTTGGGAAGGAGATAAAATTTGAATTTGCATGGAAAGGAATTTGGAAGTTACCAAAATCTGTTTTCAAGGAGGAAAGGGTTTTCTAAAAGTTTCCAAAAACTAACTTGCTTTCCAAAATCAACTAGGAAACTAAGTGGGCAGCTTGGGTACTTCTTTCACTTCCACTTGGACACGCTCCTACATTTTGGTTCTTTCACTTCCAGCTTGGACACGCTTCCTTCACTTCCACCGATTACGCACTAGTTTGGTGGGACCAAGTAAGGACTAACCGAAGGAGAATGGGAAAACCACTAGTCCGGACTTGGCGAGAACTCAAGGCATTAATGCGCAAGAGGTTTGTTCCTAGCTACTACAACCGTGACCTCCATTCAAAGCTACAAACCCTCACTCAAGGCAACATGAGTGTGGAGGACTACTACAAGGAGATCGAGATGGCCATGATGAGGGCAAACATTCAAGAAGATAGTGAGGCTACAATGGCAAGGTTCCTTAGAGGTCTCAACCCTGACCTTCAAGAAGCCTTGGAGCATTGATACGCTCCTCGATCAACTCGTTTCGAGACACGTAGCACGTTTGCCCAAGGATCTAGCGAGATTGTCCACGTTTGGTTGGCGGAACCTAAAACCAAAACGGACGACACGAATTAATTGAAGGTGGTAGGTCGACGACTCCAATCGAGGTGAACACTCAAGTGGATAGATCGGATGAACAATCAAGGACAATCGCGAGATTGCTCAAGAACCCTTGCCAATGCAAGTAACGGAATTGTACTCTCAATAATGACGAGAAACAAAGCTGAAATTTTATTGATAGAGTGTCTAACCCCTTTCTCGTACAACTTGTACCTTTTTATAAGCTAATGACTAACGAACCCTAGGGCTAGAGAAAGGAAAGGTTCGGCCACCCTTGGACATTAATGGGCCGAATCCTTGACTCAAACAAGGTATCAACTAGTAGCTAGTCTAAACTACGACTTGCAACTAAAACCCTAATAGTATGGCCGACTTTACTAAGTGTGGTCGTGGTCCCCACTTGACTCTTCATGGGCTTGGATCATCGTGTAGACAACTTGATTATCGCCTTCCAAACCCTCAATGTCCTTATGGACCCCTTGTTGATCTTGAACATTTCGAACAAGGGCTTGAAGAGACTCCTTGAAGCGCTTGGCCCGTGCTCGTGTAACTGGGCCCAATGTGACTCGAACTGGGTCATTACTTAGGCTAAGACCCGTGCACACATCAGTCCCCTCCACTTGAGAAGGATTTGTCCTCAAATTTAGGTCCTCCTCGGCAAGGAATGGGCTCAAATCTGTGACATTGAAAGTCGCGCTCACGTTGTATTCTCCAGGTAGCTCCAATTTATAGGCATTGTCATTGATGCGTTAGAGCACGCGGAAAGGTCCATCACCCCTTGGGGACAGCTTACTCTGGCGTTGCTGGGGGAATCTCTCTTTCCTCAAGTGCAGCCAGACCCAATCTCCAGGTTCAAAGGTCATCTTGCGACGGTGCTTATTAGCTTGCTGGATGTATTGCTGCGTACGCTTCTCAATATTGGCTCGAACGGCTTCATGTAACCTGCGCACAAAATCAGCTTTCTTTTTCCCATCTAAGTTTGTGTGCTCAGAGGAGGGTAAGGGTGCCAAATCAAGGGGTGTCAGGGGGTTAAAACATAAACAATCTCAAATGGTGAGTAGTGTGTCGCACTATGAACAGTTCTATTTTAAGCAAATTCGACATGTGGCAAACACTCTTCCCAAGATTTAAGATTCTTTTTAATCAAAGCCCTGAGTAAAGTATCAAGTGTGCGATTGACAACCTCAGTTTGTCCATCGCTCTGAGGATGACTTGTGGTTGAAAATAACAATCTAGTGCCAAGCTTTGACCACAAAGTCTTCCAAAAATAGCTCAAAAACTTCACATCTCTATCACTAACAATGGTTTGAGACATACCATGTAAACGAACAATTTTCTTAAAGAACAAGTTAGCAATGTGAGATGCATCATCAGTTTTGTGACAAGGGATGAAATGAGCCATCTTAGAGAATCTATCAACGACCACATAGATGGAATCATTACCCCTTGGTGACCTAGGTAGTCCCAAAACAAAGTCCATAGACAAGTCTACCCAAGGATAATGTGGAATGGGCAATGGGGTATACAAGCCATATGGGTTTGTTTTAGACTTGGCCTTGTGGCAGGTGGCACATCTACCAACCATGCATTCAACATCCCTACGCATATAAGGCTAGTAAAAGTGTTCTTGCAACTAAAATCCTAATAGTGTGGCCGACTTTACTAAGTGTGGTCGTGGTCTCCACTTGGCTCTTCATGGGATTGGATCATCGTGTAGACAACTTGATTATCGCCTTCCAATCCCTCAATGTCCCTATGGACCACTTGTTGATCTTGAACACTTCGAACAAGGGCTTGAAGAGACTCCTTCCCTCACATCTTGCTTCTCCTTACCTTTGTGAGGATCAAGAATAGATGACTCTTACCCTTCAAGATTAATTTCTAACTTGTAGGCTTTTGTTGATAATTCATCAAAGGTCTTCAGCTGTATTCCTTACAAAATATAGCAGAGTCCCTAATGCATGTCTTGGACCGACATCTCAATTAAGGAAGACTCATAAATTCAGTCATTGCAATTCAAGCTCAAATTCCTTGAACATTCACTGAAATCAATAACAGGTTTATTGTTCCATTGGCATGCATTCAAGAGCTCAATTATGCTAACTGTCTCTACCTTGTGCTATAAAAACGGTTAAGAAATTCTTTATTTAACTGTCCCAATTCATCTTCTACATGAATTGTACAATCAGAAGAGATTGAAAGCTCCGTATGTAAGTCTTTAAAATATCTTTCTCTTTACCCTTTGAAGATGAGTTGCCCTCGTCATGCATTTTAGAATTTTTTTTCTAAAACATGTTTGGGCAATTTTCACCAATGTTCTCTACCGTGTCCATCAATTTGGCTATTTTAGCATCTAGATTTTGTAATGCACCGCTGGCCCTTCAGTAATCTTGCAAAATTGAAAATTTGATCCTTAACAGTTGTAGTATTTGTAATCGTGATAGGCATCATCATGGAATTTGTTGAATCACTTGAACTGTCAATGAATACACCATGGCCTCCTTTCTTGTTGAGAAAAACTTCAAGATGTTTCTCTTGACCAGCAGCACCACCTTAGCTTTTTGTGGTATCACCTTTGTCTTGCTTCTCGGTATAGAGCAACAGACCATGCATATTGATTGGTTCGAACATCAAAGGCTGACTCATCAGAAGCAAAACTCACCTTCTTGGAGTCTATCATAGTTGAATACTTGAAACAAGCATTTGTAGGAACAGAAGAGATGGGAGGTAGAGAGAGTCCACTGGGCGTGCAAAAATTTGTAACACAAATTTTGTTGTCTAAGACAGAAGACAAGAAAGATTGTGAAAATATCACTTTGATCTATTAAAGTATAAAAGGGTTACAATATCTGAGAATTTATTAGATTAAAGAAAATATAATCTCCTAAGTCTTCTCTTCAAAAGATTTTAATTGAAAGACCAAAAGACTTGTTCTTTGATCAAAAGGCGTTTGCCACAATTTGTGCATAGAAGATAATAATAATTGTATGACATCGCCTGAGTACTTAAATCTCCAGTCTTAAGCTTTCAACAAGCACATGAATTTGATTTGACTTTGAGTTTGACTTGGATTTAAGGGAGAAAGCACGTGCGAGAATTTTACAAAATTTCTTTGAGATCTAGGAATTTGAATGTATATCTTCGCTTGAGAGATGACCCTTAATTATAACCCAAAAAATTGTAGACTTAGATTTAAACCTCCAAAAGATTGATCTTCAAGAAACCATTCAGAATGCTTCTGCAATTTGGGCCACTTGTAATTGAAGAACCATTTAATTTAGGCTTCAACAATGTGCTGGCCAAATTGTTTAGTATGAATTGATGAAGTAATTAATCCATTTTAATTTGACTGACCATTACAATTTCACTTTAAGGCCCATAAATCACTGGCCCAATTTGTATGTCTAAAGACAAAAAGGTGGTCATAATTTAATTTAATTTAATCGAGATCAATTTAACGTGATTCAATTTTAACTTATAAATTAGATTAAATTTCCCCACCTACAATTACATTAAAAAAATGATTCAAATAGGATCTACCGTGAGAAATAATAGGGAAGAAATAATATCCTCTCTTCAAAGAAGATTAAATACAAAAGAGAAAAGGGGAAGAGAGAAAGGAAACAAAAGACTTTCTCTCAAAAAAAAAAGAAATAAAGGAATGAAGAAAAGCAAAGGACTGAAAACTGTAAATTTTAGAGTTTTATAGAAAATGTAGACTTGTATGAATCATATCCTTAGACTTGACTCTCTCAAATGAAATTGGGGAATTACAAGACGGGCTGGCTCGAGAATGATATACCTCGAGGGCTGCCAAGAAGACCGTAATCTGAGCCTTTGAAAACTTAGAGCATCAAATTACAAAGGGAATTTGTTGGCAGCAAAGACTCAAAAATCCAAATTAAATGGATCTACACATTGATTATTGTCGCATTTCTTCTTTACTATAACTCAAATAGTACCAAATTTTGTCCTTTAAAATAAATATTGTTTGTTGTCTTGTCCAAGATATATAAGCGTGGCAGTCGATCATCAGCCTGTAAGTTGAAGGCTTGAAGAAGCTTATCTTCACAACTAAATCTCTTTGCAGCTCCATCAGCTAATGATGACAATAGAGCATATAACTGTCAAATAGATTATTACCAGAAAGACTAATATATAGTGCTTTCACGATCGCAGATGGAAGCTGATTTCACAATCCCAGCCTGGCTGATGTTCATCCAGAGCAGGAGCATTCAGGTTGAATAATGGACGTTGGAGATGATGATCACTTTGCTTCTCCTGCCCATTTTGTCTTTCCAAATGGAAAACATCTTCATCTTCTGCTCTCTTTTTCCCTTTTCCCCTTTGATGTCCGGTGCTTGTATGGAAGTTTTTGTCCCCATTACATTGCACTTGATGTTGCCCCACATTGTCTGAATTCTGCAAACATTCACAATGATGAATAACTGATTAAGATAATTGGTTAAGTATGTTGTACATTTCTATATCCTGAATCAAGAAAAACGACAAAAGAAAAAAGGATTTTAGAAATGAAATTAGAATAGAGATGTAGTGCACGAGCCCATTGGTCATGAATAGTGGAATTGGAAATGCCCTTGTAAAATTTCATTCACAGGAAAATGTTTGTGGCCAAGATTATTTCTTTTTTCCTTGTTATAAATAGGTCTATTTTTTAAATTGCGGAGTTCCAATAATACATTGATTTTCTTGTAATGTTCTTTTGCTCATAGAAGTTCACAGTGATCGATATGATTGGTTTTCTTTTATGTCTATGACTCAATTTTTTTTACAGTATTTAATTAATGGGTATTTTATTGCGTTTTAAAATAATAGTCTTGAGATTATTGATCAACAGTTAAATAATGTTGTTGTGATCATAATTTAATTAAATTTACACGTTTGTAAAGATTTGCCTAAAAAACAAGCAAACAAGAGATCTAGTTAGGAGTCGAAAAATATACCTGATTTTGTGATTTCTTTTTTTTGAAAATGGTTGCCAATGATTTGAGGACAAATTAGAGTTAAACTTCATTAGTTTATTTGAAGCTCAGGATTTAGTCTAATACAATCATTTTGAAAGCCAAAAAAACGAAAAGTTTAAAAAATTTTGCTCATAGCGTTGAAAAAATTGAGACATTTAGAGAAATGAAAATATACAGGATTGAAGAATAGGATAAATATATGAGATACTTACAAACTAAAAATAAACAAGTAATGAAAGTAGTTTGTGTCCCATCACTTGCATTCCTTACATACTGCATCTGTTGGTCGAAATACTTTCAAATTTTAGATTATCAATATTATTCTTTAAGTTAATTACAGTAAATTAATTAAGTAAACAATCACAAAGTATTATCTAAATGCATATTATTGGAAATAAATTGACTAATATTTATGCTCTTTGAATTGATAAAAAAGAAAGTTAAAACGTAAGAGTTAAAGGTTAAGCACATGACTTGGTCAATTTTTCATTGAATTCAACATCTAACACAAAACGACATTTTTATGAGCAATATACTTACTTTAAATGCAATTCAAAAAAGTTAGGACAAGTCGTAAGTAACATTAAAATTAGAAAAGCAATATCAATTTTGGAACATTAACTTAATAATCTAACTAATTAAGGTATAAATTTACTATATCTGTTCCTTCTGAAAGGCCATATATCCACAATCCGGATTCTCCCTGGAAAGCACTTTAAAGTGGCTCTATTGTTCATGTTCATCATCCAAATTTCCCTCAGTCACTCCCTTTAAACAACTTTGTCCGTAGGCTAGATTTCATGACATGGTTCCTCTCTATTAATATCAACTGTTTGTCACATTTATACTAGTCCAAGATCTTCAAATCCAGGTTCTATTTGCTGGAAGTTCCAGTTTAAAATGACTCTGTGTAGATAGAATTCAAGATTTGAAAGCGGCATTTGGCTAGAGACTAATCCTTAGCCTCACTGCATTGAGTTATAATAGAACATATACCTTCTTCTTGCAAATTTTTCTCTTCCCTTCAAATTTAGTCCTTTGTGCTTGCATAAGTTGGATGCTTCTGGAGTTAGCAAAACAAACTTCTTAAGATATGAATTTGTAGATTGAAAATCCTGGACCTGTATATACCTAATGCTGTTAACAGATTTCAGCAAAAATGTTATTTGTTTTCTTAAAAGAATTTCGGATTGCAGAGAATTTATGAAGTTCCGTGGTCTTACTCATTTGTGTGCCATCCTGCAGTATTGCTACCATCATCTGCTTCAAACATGGTGTTTGTTGCAGCTGAAAACCGAAACAACAAAGGCCAGAAATCAAGAGCAGTAGATGATGAAGAACTTGCTGATCAGTTAAGGCTAGAAATCAAGTGTAGTAGATGATGAAGAACTTGCTGATCAGTTGTTGACTCTTGTTGAGCAATCAAGACAAAAAAGCATAACTTTATCTTAATGAACCACTAAGGAATAGGCTTAGTTGACAGGAATCTTACCTTTCCTTGCAACTGTGCTATCAGCTGCTGTCCCACTATTGCAACCCATTCTCAGCCTGTACTTCTGGAAATCAAGAAATTCATAGACTTAGTCACAATTTGGTCCCTTATCCAAGCCCGATATTTAACATAAAATCTCCGGAGTCATTTACCTGAAGATGGCTTTTTATGTGGCTTGAGGTAACCTCAGGAATGTCCATCTGCGTCATGATTTCTTTTGGAGTAGCTTCTGTTCATGGTTTGAAATATCAAAAAACATAAAAAGTCTCGCCATATTACTAAAGACTATTGAAGGGTATTCATAGTTGTATGTTTATACTCACCAAATGGCCCACCGAGTCGATCAACTGCCTTAATAAAGCAGTTATGAAGCCCTGGAGTCCATCTTATCCTTGGTTTCCTGGTATTCTCGGCGACTTGCAACTGTCGATCGCTAGTGTGTAGTATCTTGGTGTCGTTCCCTTTGGCTGCCATGATGATCAGGACAACTGAACTAGTTGGAATTCTTCATACCTGCTCAGGATAATAAGCATGAAATATATGGATGCACACTTTATGCAAGAAAATTTGTATAGGTATCTTTCTTACAGCCATTATGCATATTACTATTGCTCATTTCTTGTGCAACCAGCTTTAGTTGCTGTTCGTATTTATACAGAAACTTTGGGACAAAAGATATTCCACATATCCGAAACTTTTCCTCGGATGGCATGTTCTCCGGGAGAATATTGTGCGTTTAAGTGGGTATTATGGGTACCCGAATGCCAACAGGATAGTTCAAAGTGCCCAAAGTGGCACTTGGAATCCTCGGTTACATGTTTTCTATGCCAACCCAATGCCACCTCTAATATTGCGCCAAGTGTCCTGTTATTATTTACACTTTAATTTTCTAATAATTCAAATTTGTTTGGTTTAACACAAGTTTTTTCTGCTCTCTAAAACTTTGAACCAAAATTAGCCGACCGGTCTAATTCATATACCAATACTTTTGAGTTAACCACTCACGATCTGTTGCTTTGGGGAAAAAGAAAAAGAAAATCCTAAATAAAATTGCCTCCAAAGTGTTTCATCGTTGATTGCTTTGAAAGGAAGAACTTTTTACTTATTCTTGATAAATCGAATTCTCAGTGTTTATTTTTTCGATTAAGCACGTGTTCTCGAGTTTGGTTGCTGATTCTTGAAAAAGGGTTTTCAATTCCAGTCGTTCAAAACTCAAAGAAGGAAGAATTGAATAAAGAGATGGGGAAGAGCGGTAGTAATGATGATGAACGCCATCTTGATTATTCGGGTATTGGACTGTACCCGAACTGGGGTAAATTTGATATCTTGGTTGCAGTTGCAGAAGTAGAGGGGAACAGATTGGAGGAGGAGGAAAAAGAAAGAAAACTCAAGCGAAATCTTTCCACTTTGTTGAAACTCTTGTTGAAAAAGAAACAGAGGAATCATCAATGGACAATGGTTCAGATGGGGTCGGTAAATTGCAGCTTCTTGCTGGTAAAATTGATGACAATTTCACAAAAGGGAAAAGATCGTTCAGAAGGAAGACCGGCTCCAACCACACATTATTGTCCGAGGAACTTCCTTCAGCAATATCCCAGTTTGATTTTGAAGGCAAACATCAAGAAGATGATGGTAATCACGTTCTGTTCTCATATGGGGATATAATCAATAAACCCCAATTGAAGAGATTGAGGTCACCCCGTGAAGAAAATAGTACTGATCATCAAGAAATAGAGATGCCACGTTCGAAGAAAGCAAGAAGGAAGCCTAGATATCCTGATGGACCATCAACATCAACTATCTTTTTCACCAAAGCAACAGATCGTGAGTGGTTAACTCAAAAGTATTGATATATGAATTAGATCGGTCGGTTAATTTTGATTCAAAGTTTTAGAGAGTAGAGAAAACTTGTATTAAACCAAATCAATTTGAATTATTAGAAAATTAAAGTGCAAATAATAACAAGACACTTGGCACAATACTAGAGGTGGCATTGAGTTGGCATAAAAAACATGTAATCAAGGATCCCAAGTGCCAAAGTGGGGGTTTTCCTAGAACTTCATGATACTTTTATTACGTGTCAATTAGGGGTGTCAATGGATTCATGAGTCGACCCCGAGCGTTAGTAAGCTCAAGCTCGGCTCAGAAAATAAAAGGAAATTTTGGGCTTGCAGGTTTTTTGACTCGGGTCCAAGTTAGAAGGTTCAAGTTCAAGCTCAACCAACCTTTAAAATGAGTTTTGGGCTTATACTAGGCTCGATCCAAACTCATAATTAAAGTCCATAATTATATATAATATATTAATTTGTATAAATTATTATAAATTATTATAAATTTATATATATTATTAATATTTTAATGTTATAATATATATAATTATATATTATATATAATTTAGTACACAATTATATATACAAATATAATTATACATATGAATGGGCCGGAGTCTTAATCAAACTTGAGTTTAGTAAAATTCAAACTCGACTCATATTTAATTCGGATCTATTATTTAGACCTAAGGTCCATCTTGTCCTATGAAATATAAGACTCATCAAGTTTTTTTGGGCTAAACGGACTGAGCTCGAGCTATCCCCGCCCAACCATTTAAAGAAAACAACTTAAGTCTTTTGTAAAAATCTATATCTATATCTATATGTATTGCAGAGAGTGTTTTTAGCAGAGACCCTCTCAATGACTTCCAAACTTTTCATTCTTTTTTCTAGATTTTTGTATTTATTTTAATACATAAAATCTAATTAAAAACTTTAAAATAGTGGGTTATAACTAATCCTATCACTAGTCAGATTTAAAATTTAAAACTTTCTCACTATCTCCTTCATAAACCGTTTATAGTTTGTTATTTATACTTTAAGTCCTTTTTACTCCTTAATTAAATAAAATACATTTGTCAAGCCAAAATTCTCAGGGATAATTGATTAGTCTCATTTTAAAATTATTCACCCTATTATATCTTTATCACTTTAGCCCCTTTTATTCCTTCATTAAAGAGGATTAATTTATCTAGCCAAATCCTTGAGATAATGTGATTAGTCCTATTTTTTAGTTATTCACCCAATTATATTTTATCGCTTTCCTTCTAGGTACAATAATCATTTGTCAACATCTTCTAATGATATACTCGATTACTCTTATTTTTTAATAATTTATGTTACAATTACTAAATCAATTTTCTTGCAGTTTTAAACTTATCCTTTTTCTTTTGTATTCAGCAAGCTTAGGGCACTTTAATAGGTTTGCTTTTTATAATTTTTATGTTGGATTTTATTACTTAGAGGAGCCTAAAATGGTCATCATAGTGAGTTTCAAATTTTGTCACTTTACGACAATCTAAAAATAATTTAGGCATTAATGCAAACAATCAATTAACATTCACGAAATTTATTAAATTTTTATGAGAGAAATGGAGGAAGTAGGATAAATTTTAAAAAAATAAAATAATAGAAATTAAAGAAGAGAAAAAACGATGAATACATCTTTGCAAAATTTAGAATATAATTATTAGAGTAATTTAGATTTACCCACTAATGATTGAGTTTGAATCTATGTCTAATTTAATTAAGTCAAAATAAGTGATCCAAATCTGTCAATTTCATTCCCACTAATTAATGGGTTAATTTGGTCACCCATTTGAATCCAATTAAATTACATATGCAAACTCATTTGTTAATAGGTGAGTAAATAGGTTACCATTTACATTTATAAATAGATGAAAATAATAGTAGAATAGGACACAAGTGAGCTGCAAAATTGGGTAAGAGATAGGGTAATTGGGTGGGAGCGAGATAGAGCAAAGAGAAAATAGGATTTGATGAAACAAGAAAGGGTTGTAGAGATACAAGAAAATTGTGTAGGAAATGAAAGAATGAAAAAATGTTGTAGGGATGCGACAAAGTTAGATTCAGAAAGTGAAAAGGATAAAAATGGAGAGTAGGAGGACTATCGAGGAGAGAGGAGATTGAGAGGTGGAAAAAAAGGCATGAAGGCGAAGAATATGAGATAAATGGATAATAATGTTATGTTCGGCCATATTTTTCCCTCCCTCCCATATAATCCCGTGCAATGCACAGGTCAATATACTATACTAGTAAATAAGTAAATTAATGGGTCTTATGGCTGATATAAAGACTTTTACCAGAATCTGTTATGTGGTTACCAGAATAAGGCTTGCAATAGGGCGAATTTGGGCAGGAGAGTGCCCACCACATCCCCTAAAAGCTCCCTTGTCCCTCGCTACCTTCACCCCAGCGTCCCCTCCTACAAAGCCCCACTACTATTTTTATCTTTTTATATGACTTTATTTTTATATATGTATAACACTAATAATAGATGTATTAATAATTCTTTTGAATTTTACAGCAAAAAAAATTAACACGGGATAATGTTTAAAAATTATTTTGACCTTGTGAATATGTTTCTCTATATTTGATATTACATAAATTCTAAATCAATTATCATTATTTTTTTTATAAACAACATGCTATAACAAAAAAATGTAAACTAAATAACATAATTATTATTTTGCCTCAAAAAATTAACGAAAAAATTTATTATATTATTCATTTCATATTACATATATATATATAATTATATCATGTTATATGTTTATATTTTATATATAATATTAAATTAAGGTGAGGGACAGGGCGGGGGATAGGGTGGAGGTAGGGGTGGCAATTTCTGACACGACCTGAAAACACGACACGAACTTAACACGCGTCAGAATCGGGTCGAACCCGATGAACCCGAAAAGAAAACAGGTCGATTTCGGGTCAACCCGTGGGTGACCTGATATGACCCGTTTACGAATTAAAAATAATTTAATAAACATAAAAATTATTTTATCTAACTAAACTAAGTTATTCTTTTTTTTTCAAAGGCATTAATTACTTAATCCTAAATGAATTTATTTAACTTGTGTGAAGTTGAAATTATTATATTTGGACAAATAATATATTATATTTTTTTTACTTTTATATTGTTTTGATTTATTTTATATTTGGTTTGGGATAAAACACTTTTACGGTATTTAATTTATTTTAGATTTGGTTTGGAATTATTTATTTAAATTTTTATTACTTGATTATGTAATTAGTTTTGTGAGAAATTGATTTTATTAGAAATTACAGTGATAAATTAATAAATTAAAATTAAGTTTCGGATCATTTTGGATCGACCCGTCAACCCGAAATTTTCGGGTTCGTGTCAGGTATCCTGACCCGTTTCGGGTTGGCGGGTCAAGTTCAGGTCAACGTTTTTTCTGTTATACCCGGGTCTCAACCCGACCCGCCAACCCGAATTCGACCCGATTGCCACCCCTATGTGGAGGTATCCTCCCTCCCCTCCCCTCCCACCCTCCCACCGATTAAAGTGGGGGAGAAAATTTCCTCCGTCCCCGCCTGTCCCCAGTGCCATCTCTAGAAAAGACCCTATAATGCTTACCACTGGCTGATAAGCAATTAGGGTAGATTACACCAACAAGCCCCTACAGTTTGACTTATCTTTCATTTTGCCCATGAACTTAGTTTGCAACTAGGCTGGTAAACGAGTCGAGTTGAACTTTAATATAATCGAGCCGAATTTGACTTAATCTTCTCAAGCTCAAAC